AAGTGGTACCTGCTCCCTTCCTATTCTCCACCCTTTTACTAGTTCCTCAAATCAGCTCTATGAATCAGTCTCCCCAAAACATCTGCAATCAGAGTGAATAGGAAGGGGGAAAGTGGGTCTCCTTGTCTTATTCCCCTCAAGGCAGGAAAGAAATCTCTCACAGTTCCATTCACCAAGATTAAATAGTGGCAGCTCCTAGCACAACCCCAAATCCATTTACACCATCTGTTTCCAAAACCAAAGTTCTCATCACCTCCACCAAGAAAGACCAATCAACTAGGTCATAAGCCTTCTCTAAATCTAGTTTGCAAACCACACCCTTCTTCTTGGATTTCCTGAAACTTTCCAGACTCTCATTTGCAATCAAGATTTGATCAGTGATCTGCCTCCCCTTCACAATAGTATTATTTTTGCCCCTTGAGGAATAAAGGAGCAAACCAAAGATTTTCAAGTGGAGGGGTGTACTCCTATACATACTTTGGATCTAGTTCTCCTTCCAAAAATGTCAGGTTATAGTGTGGCAGCATAACTTTGCCGACAAGATTGTACTCATGAGTAAGTAAAGGAAACAACTAGAAAAAGCCAATGCCAAGTACAAGAAAGCAATTGACCAACATTGGCATCAACGTTTTCCAAGAAGGTTATGAAATGATGATGTTTCCAACGATAAGCTTCGTACAGGGTAATACAATAAGTAGTAGCCAAAGAAGATTGGACCTTACAAGATCATGAAGAAGATTCCTACATGGTAGACCTCCCCAGTTCCATGAATATATATATATAGATATATTGATAATTCCAGTTCCATTAATATATCCATGTTAATATTAATAATCTCTATGAGTACATCCACCTTTTTAAGAGGGACAGGAGTACACTTGTACTTTTGTTTTAAGCTATGGGAGTAATCCTGTAATTTCATTTTAAGAGGTTTATTTTTGTGATTATTTGGAAGTACACCTGCACTTTTGTTTTTAACTATGGGAGTAGTCTTGTACTTTAAGTAGCTATTTTTCTTTTTTTTTTATATGATATGAATTTTATTGAAATTAAAGAGAATCAAAGAAAGGTACAAGGTAGAAACTACAACCACAATGCACGAGCTGCAGCCTGAATGAGAAAAGAAAATTACAACTGTGCCCAAAATAAATGATTCTTGTGTACCCCTTGCTTAGCTAAACAATCAGTGACCCCATTGGCCGATCTTTTCTTTTTTTGTTTTTGATCAATGAAGAAAAATTTTATTAGGCATCAAAAAGAAGGAATTACATCAAGGTGGAAAGATCACCACCACAAGAAACTTTAGATTTTCGCCCAAAAAATCCGTGTCTTATAGTCCCTTGTTTAGCCAATGTGTCTGCCATCCCATTTGCTATTCTTCAAACCAATGTTTTAAAAGGCATGGGAGGCGTACACCTCAGGTGCAAGAGGCGTATGCCTCTTGCGCTTTTTTCATGAGGCGTGCTAGAGGCATACGCCTCATGCGCCTTATGCACATCATATATAAAAAGACAGAAAAAAAAGGAAGGAAAGGAAAGGAAAGGAAAAGAAAGGGAAGGGAAAGAAAAAGAAAGAGAAGAAAAAAAGAGAAAAAGAGAAAAAGAGAAAAGGAAAGAAAAGAAAAGGGAAGGGAAGGGAAGGGAAGAAAAGACAAGGGGAAAGAAAGCGGTTTGCTACCTACCCCTTCAAACCCCCCCTTTCAACTAATGTTATGCATTTTTATTCTTCTTCATATAAAAGATTTTTATTAAAAATAAAGAAAAAATGAGATTCCCCCTTCCTCTTCATCCTCCTCCTAACCCCCCCCCCCCTCTTAAGGAGGTTTACGCCTCCTTGTGTTCGGGAGGCTTACGCCTCTTGTGTTCTAAACTATGCCTCACGCCTCTACGTAGTGGAATGTCTCGCATCATGCCTCCGCGTTTTAAAACATTGCTTCAAACCATCTAAATGTGACATTCATCCCTCTTGGTATTCAATTTCATAGGCAGTATGCCTGTAAACCCATGGGATTTGGGTAATATTCCTTGTCCATAAGATAACCACATGAGAATCTCCTTCCACTTCCAAGTTAAGAAACCCAAACTGCTTAGCAAACTTAAGGCCCTGAAGAAGACTGTACAACTCTGCTGTCACTGCATCATAAATGGTAACAGGACCAGAATATAAAGCAAGCACCTTCCCTTCAAAGTCTCAAAAGACCCCTCCCATCCCAGCAATAACCTGATTGCCTATGTAGCTACCGTCGAAATAGAGTTTTACACAATTGGCTTCTGGTTGTCTCCATTCAATCACTTTTCTTTCCTTATTTTGAGCTGACATAGCCACCTCCTTCCACTTTCTCAGGATTCATTTACGGAGAAAGATTTGAAATCCTCCATTGACTTTACCAAATGAGCAACCTTTATTTTAACTGTTTCCAAGACTTCCAAATCAAATCTACTCTTATAATTGATCCTTCCATTTCTTTCCTCCCAAACAGTCCAAATCAATTCAGCTCTCACAGCTTTCCACATTAGCCTTCCTCTGGCCTTTGATTGTCGCAAGAAAGCTGAATCAAAGAGCCCTATCACATGCTGAGGAGACCACCTGGACCTAATGAGAGAACAAAGATGATCCCAAATACCAAGCACAAAAGGACAGGATAAGAAAATATGGGAAACAGTTTCACCATTAATTTTTACAAAGAAAGCACATGTGAAGAGAAAGGCAAGTGTTTAAACTTCATTTCTGCAGCATGTCAATGGTGTGTTATTCTTACCAAGGAAAACTTCCCAACAAAAGGCCTAAATCTTAGGAGGGATTGGCTTGCTCCAAATTTCTTTCACCGGGAAATTGACCCCCAGTGTAGAATGCTGAATTAGGAAGTTGAAGAAGGATGCACAGATAAAAAGACCATGTGGGGAAATGGATCACATTCTATTGCCATCAACACTTAGATCCAAAAAAATGGAGTCAAAGTTTAGCCAATAGGAGAATGAATCACATTCCATTTCCCTTAGACCTCTTCTAAACCCCAAGTACCAACTTAATTCCGAGGTTGAGAAATTCACAAACTTAAAGATGGGTTCACATTTATAATTGGAAATTAGACCTTCGGTGGTAAAGGTATTGGAAATTGAATAAAGCATAGGAAATTAGACCTTCGGTGGTTGACTACCTATCCAAAGGTCCTCCCAAAACAAAATTCTTGACCCATTACCCACATCATAATGAATGAGATTAATAAAGAAAGGATATACCTCATAGATAGCTTTCCAAGGAGAGGAGTTTGCATTGGAGGCTACTTTGCATCCCAGCCATTTTCTGACCAGCCATGAATGCTAACAATCACCTTGTGCCAAAGCCTGTTTCATTCTAGAGGAAACCTCCAAAGCCATTTATCTAGAAGAGCTGAATTCTTATGAATTAGATTGCCTAAACCAAGCCCACCTTCTTCTTTGTATCTACTAACTTGTTCCCATTTCACTAAGTGGTCTTTCTTTCCATCCCCTGGCTTCCACAAGAAATCCCACATTAGCCTTTCTAATTGCCTCCCTCCCAACGAAATATAATTCCTCCCTCCCAATGAAACCTTACTTCAATGCTTGTGGTTAACCATTTAACTCTTTGCAAATCCCCCTAAATGAGCAGGGTGCTTTCTCTGGTTCCCTTAGCCACCTGATTACCAATTTAGAGTCACCTTCAACTAGTAATCTGCCAAAGCCCAACTATAGCAAGTTCCACTCCTTGTAAGACTGCAAGGAGTTCCGAATTCACAGCACTCCCTACTCCAATTGGACCTGAGATTAAAGCTAAAATGTGACCATCTGCATTTCTGACCCCCCCCCCCAAAGGGACCCAGATTGCCTAAGCAGCATAAATCAAGGTTCAACTTGATAAATCCTTCTTCAGGGGTCCCTACTCTGCCACAGGCTTCTCCTTGACAATAGAGCTTTTAGCAATGAGTCCCCAATTCCGCCATAAGTCATCAAAGGAGTAATGTGAAAAGCAATCAGGAGGCTTTAATCCAATTTATAGCCATGTTGAGTAGACACTCCCAAATCGCAACCTCATCTTTCTCCTTATCATTGAATGTTCTAGAATTTCCTTCCTCCCAAACTGTCCACACTAGAGCCACCCTAACACATAGCCACATTATCTTACCTCTCTTAGGCCATCTGAAATTTGTAGGGTCAAAGAGGCTACTAATCTGCAAAGGTTCAGTCCACCTGCAACCAAAAATACCAAAAATCTTTCCCACAGACCTACAACAAAGGGGCAGGAGATTAGCAAGTGGTAACAGATTTCTCCATTAGTTTTGCATAATATACACCAGTTTGGGGAAATACTAAGACCAGGTCTTCTCTTTTGCAAGTTGTCCATGGTGTTTAACTTTCCAAGAGACACTTTCCAATTTTTAAGTTGCTATTGCGATTGCCCTACTTTATAAGGTCAATAAAACTTGCAGCAGCTTGTTTGCTTTATTTCCATCTTTTCTAGTTTAATTTTTCTACTTTAGTTTTGACTATTTCTACTGTAAAAATCACTAGAACAGATCTATTAGGCCTGTTCTCTGCATTAGAACAAGTCTAATTCACTTCCTGCAGACATAGCAGCATCACACCTCATGTGGATGGTCTGGCAGCACCACCATGGTGCAGATGGTGTTGCAAAAACCCTGTCAACTAACTGACAAATGCTATTAGCAGGCAAAGATCAAAGTTCAAACTGTAACAATATACATGTATCACCATGGAAGAAAACCCCCTGAAAGTAGAAACATGGAGGATGAGTTAGAAGTGGCACAACTGACTAGTCAGACATGGAGTTCATTTTCATAAACCAAGACTAAAGAATAGGGATAAAAATGACAAAAAAAAAACAATCTCCAAACGCTATGTTGCAAATGCTCTTAACCATGGGAAAAGGGGGTTTGAAAGAAAGGTGAACTATAGAAAAGCTACTCTTACAAACAGGATTCCTATGTAATGAATAAAAAATCATATAGGAAACCAACTCACCTTTTCAAACAAGCTGCCACATATGTCTGCATGTGCTGCCTCAACAGTTGACTGAGGAATACACAGCATAACTCGTAGCCGCAGCAAAACAGCAACATCCTCCTCACTTAATTCTCCATCAGCTACAGATTGCTGAAGCTTTTGCCTATAAATTTCTGCAATGAAAATAAATGTATCATAGAATTCTTGACAAGCTTAATTGTGCATAAAATTTTTTTTTCAGTAACAATGATCAATAGGAATTTATCAAGGAAAGATGAACCATATTGCATGGCATTCCCATTTTTGTGATTAGCTACTAATGAAGAAGATAATAAGTTGAAATTTCTTTGTAATTGAAAGATATACAGGATTATTCTGAAGATTTGGTCGACACAAAGAAAAGAAAATACATAACATAACAAAACCAATGATCGGTTGGCATGGGCACCAGTATTGTTAAATATGGAAAAACTTAAGACTTTCTGCAGCCTCTCACAATACTTGAACAAGAACAAAATAAGAAAACTGACCATTTTCTTAATTACAGTTGGGGAAGAAACCAGATCCCTGGAGTAGGGGGTGATGCACCCCTCTTCTTGGAGTGATTCAGGTGATAGGGGCATGAAGAGAAGAGCAGTTGAAATAAAATGTTGCTGGTTATTCCACTTGGAAGTTTCTTCTTTGAATTAAAAATAGCGTGCTAACATGAAAAACAGTAGGGCTTCTCTAAACCTAGCTCTCTTAACATGCCTACCATCCCCCAAATCATATATAAAACCCATAAAAAATGACAGAGAAACAGAGAGAAAAGAAAAGAAAAGAAAGCAGCACAAAGTTACATGTATCACAATATTTATCAAAAATAAATAAAAAATGCTGCATGTATCAAAATTACATATTACAAAAGACAAGAAAAACCAAACAAATAATCATATGATTGATATAGGATAGTCATAACGATTTTTTCCAATGATAACATGTAGCAGAGAATTATATTAGACCATAGGATACCTTCATGAATTCCACTGGCCTTCTCCGGATCAAAGTACAACTCATCACATAGGTTTTGAAGGTAGGCCGCTTTGCTATCTGCAGCTTCTAGTTCACCACTAGAAACAGCTTGTGAAAGCCGTCTCCTATAGACCTTTGAGGTAACATCCAGCATGATGGCTTCTGCCTCTCGTTTGCCCAGACCAAATATGTTCCTTAAATGGTTTAAAGACGCCAGCTACATGACCACAGAAGGGGAGGCTCAACAGAAATGTTAAAGGATGAAAAATATAACTAGCAGACTACAAGGAAAAATGCAGAAATACAAGAACAAAGTGAGTGCACATGTTTATGGCAAGTCATTTTCTGATGAAAAAAGCTTCCATTTTCTTTTGTAATCAGCAACCACAGTCAAAATAGAATTCAAATGAAAAAAGAAAGGAAAAATGGGTACACCCCCTTCAATTCAAAAAGAAAAAAGAAAATAAAAAAAAAATAAAAACATAGTGCAAAGCAACCTCCATCTGAAGACCTAATCAGCTCAATACATATGCCATTACCCTGGTCTTGGTATCCAATGCCCAACAAAGCCTATCCCTAAAGAAACACAATGTTTCTCAAACAACCCCCCTCCCCCAAATCAAGTAGCTCTCCCTAAGTAATGAATTAACATCCTCAAAACCCCCTCTAAAATGCATAGTCATTGAAACAATACATGTCCTCCAGGGTGCCCCCTTCTTAACCCCTTCTGTACACTGAAGACCACTAGCTCCTAAACTTCAAGCAGGATAAAACTCCCAGATAAGTTCTTTCTTTTTTTTTTTTTTTTGATAAATGCTCAGATAAGTTCTTTCTATCCGTCATAGTTGACAAGATGCCCATGGAGGGGCACCTCATTAAGTGTCTAACCATTTTAGTGCATGGCACTATAAAATATTTTTATCCTTTTTTAGATTAGAATAATCAAATAGACATTATTTCACTAAATTATTCATTTTTAGGTTTATATATCAGTTCCTTTTTTATGATTTTCCTATTTGTTAGGGTTCAATCAACTCACATGTTGGTGTAAGCTGTCTTGAACCCTTGAAGACTTCAAACCTGAACCAATATGCAAGGAAGACCTTAAAATTTTTTTCAACCAACACAATCTTCTATTCTCCTTTTCCTAGGACAAAAACAAGGACTCAACCCATATATTTTCCAAATTTTCTTTTCTTCTTTCTTCTTAATTCTTTTCTTCTTTTCTTCTCATGAATAATATTGCCTTTCTATGTTTTCATATGAAATTTATACTTTCATGGTGATTATTGATAATCAGTAGTGAAAAATAATTTCTAGTTGCTATTGAAACCTGGGGAATTACCCTAGGATTCAGGGTTTTTATTGGGAATAAAAGAACTGCCTGGGCACCTAGGTGACAAGGCACACCCCCCCCCCCTGTTGCCTAGCCTCACCATGGCACCATGAAAATTATGCTATCAACAAAAATAAATCTTGTACATTCATTCCCAACTACCTCAAATGTTTAAACCAACAAAGCATGAAAATACTTACAATGTTTGTCCAAACCATCTTCAAGAATCTATTATTTCTAATACTGCCTACTTCTGGGAACCAAGGATTTATGCAGAACTCAACTGACTAGAGAACACATTATTTTCACTTCAGAATAAAAGAAGCATTTTCCCTGTTTTGAAAACACAATAAGAAAAGGCCCCCACCAACTTCTCTAATCTCAGAGGGAGTCAAGGGACAACCAAGGCACCACTCTTTCAATGACCATGCAGCAACAAATTCCGCTTCCAGAACAGCACCTAACAATGTCTATCAATATCTATCCAGTAAACCTAGTCTTCCCCAACCTCTACCTGATATGACTTCAACTGTACCACATTGAACAGTTTGGCTACCATCTGTTTCTGCTAGCTTTTCCTTCTGCATTGAGTCCAGTCAGATTCTATAAACTCCATAATCTTTTTTCAGCTATTTTATCAGATTCCATGTAGCCAATGTAGGTCCTACATGTTTTATAGATATTCCTCTTTTACTTTGACCAAGTAGGACTGAACACATGAGATTAGGTACTTGACAGCAATATTTCCTATCTTATTTACTATTTGCTCTAATGGGTGATTTATCTCTAATCCTTCTCAGGTTACCTAACCTGGCTTGGTAGAGCAAATCTGTTTCAATCTTTTCTTTAAAAATTTCTGTGTCGTACCACATAACCATGTATATTTGACACAAGATTTTACCCCTTCTACAATTACTACAATTAAATCATCCTCATAAATAAAATAAACAAGAATAACTACAAAAACCATCGCTATTGTTGTTCTGTACTATTAGTTTACACTATTCACAAATAAAGCATGACAAAGAATCATATTGTAACAAGGAAATGGTCCTGCAAAATGACTCCAAGCCAATGGAACTATGGAAGTAAAAATGCCACAGATAAAGGAAGTTCACTCATACAAGTTCAATTACACCTCCAGTCAAGACAGGAAATTATGCCACTGATAGAAAATGACATTACAGCACCCAGAAAAGTCCTGTTTTGTTTTGATGAATGAGTAAAAATTTTATTGATCAAACAGATAAGAGTTATGGGAAACCCAAGGAAAGGCACAAGATGCAACCTTTCCCTTAAGATTGATCACAGAATCACAGTTTCAAAAGGAACAAGAATTACAAGGTAGCCCAAAATAAAGAATCCCAAGAAACCCCTTGTTTAGAAAGTGAATCAGCCATTGAGTTTGCTGATCTGCCCACCCACAGAACTCTAACTTTCATATTCCTATTTAGCCATTTGACTTTTTTAAGGAGGTCTCTATAGCCACAGACCACGGAATCCGGATTCAGCAGCCACTCCACAACCACCTGAGAGTCCCCTTCAAAAAAATAAGTCGGATACATCAAACATATTTTTTTGATAGGTTCAGATACATCAAACACATTGTATTTTAAGAAAGGAACACATCAATAATTTCCTTTTCCTCTCTTTGTTTTCACTCTCTTTTCTGACTAACAAAGAGTCTACAGTAAGCATGAACATAGTGGAAGATTTTAACATCTAAAACTTAGTTGAACCATTGAATATTATATTAATCCTGCAGTTTATACCCACCTTTTTTTCTTCCATGCGGCCACTTGACAAGGATTCTGCAGTGTACGCTCTATAAAGGAGCTTCAAGTCATTCATCTTTCTGTCACCATCATACGCACCACCTAATCCAAAAAGACAAGTTAACTCATAGAACATTCTTTTCCGATACAAAAAGAAAAACTCTATGCTCCATAAAAAGTGTGGATGACATTTGAACTTTCTAGTTAATATACCCATATAAAAATATGGAGATGGATGTGATATAAGGATGCAAGGAAATAGTGATGTAACATTTCATTTATCAAAATCCAACATACATAATAGTCATATCTCTCAAGTGTACAAGCATCATTCCTTGAATTAAATTGTGTTTCTTAAGCTATACAGGATTACTTAAACATTTCTTTGAACCTAATTCTTTTTTAAACATGATATAAAAATTAAGAGGCTTCTTAGGGATTAAGCAACACCTAATGGTGCAAAGAAACCAAAATATAATATTAATTATAAAAAGGAGCTAAAAATAATGAACTCATATTTGAAAGTATCTACCATGTATCAGAACCTACATCAGTATGATATTTGGACACATAAAATAAATATCTTTCAACATCTTGGTGCTAGGTTTCAGGTAGCATCTCTACCTAATAAAGAAACAGGCCCAATCCCAAGGGCAAAGCGTCCAGCATCAGAATGGTTATTCAAGGACATGAGCAAATTATTAAATTCAAGAATCTTCTCAAGCTCTTCCACAACTTGTGTTGATCCTCTCCTGGCAACCATGGTTTGGTTAGTGAAAGAAAAGAAAATAATAGAAGCCAAGGAGACGTAATAAGTGGCAAGTAATAACCTCATAAAAAAACCATCTACAGTATATTTGGAATTTTAGGAAGATAAAAATGCTCTTGTAAACTAAAGTGATGGATGAAACAGATCTTAAAATTTGAATAAAACATCTCTTTTGCACTTTATTATTTGCAGTGAAAACAGACAAAATATTTGAACAAGTACTAGTAAGATAATTTTTTACCATCAACTAGTGGAATATAAGCTGTTTTTTTTTTGGCTAGTGGAATATAAGTTGTTGAAGCAACATTGCATATGGCAGTGTTCTCATTTTATGAGACTGCCAAAATTCATTGCATGCAAGTATTCACAAGTTTCTATATTCCACATATAAGATCATTTATCCTAAAAAAGTATAAGATCATACACTGCTCTACTCCTGGACTTTAAAACCTCCAGTGCCCTGGAAATATTTTCCTCCACAATTTTCCTTGTATGCTCCCTGAACATGTCAGAAGCAAGCTGCAAAGAAAAGAAAAGGAGAAAAAGGGGCACAAGATGAAGAAAGATTCCTGAACTATTAACTTTGTTTGGATCCAGTAACAATGACTAAAAAAGTACCTCTCAGGACATACCTCCTCAGAAAGCCGATATAGAAGTTGTGCTTCTCTCAGGCTAATAAGTTGTTTCTCATCAATATCTAGGTAACAATTTCAAATTTCTATCAGTACCCAACATTGAAAACTGAAACATGAATGCAACTGCATATGTACAAACATATGTGAGTGGTCAACCAAATGCTCCCCATTAGCATGAAAGGAGAAAACATGAAATTATATATTACAATTTAAAGCCCAAGTTGGTGTGTTCTATGTACTTAAATACAATGTGATTAACAAATTATGCCTGTTGAAGACTTTGCATTAGCATGGCATACCCATCATTGCATGAAAGTATAATGATTCATTAAAATTAGCTGAAATCAACCTCTGTGCATTTTCTAAAACCACAGTTTTTTAATATAAAACTTAAAGAATTCTTTATGGCTAACATCCACAATTGTTGCGTATAAATGCTATGCATCACCTCTTCCAACTGATTCTAGCTTGAACGCATACAATCTCTGGGCATTGTCCCGAATAGCAACCTCAACCTAACAGGTAGAAGAATTATAACCTGTAATTAACAAGCATAAATTGACAATAAAAAATACATAGAAAATGCGCCAGGGCATGTAAATCTAGAGATTAGTTAAAAGTGCATTTTAGAGTCACGAGAAATCATGACCAGTGTTCCAAGTAGACCTGTTCGTGGGCTGGGCTTGGGCATAGCATTTTCCAGAATTTGAATGGGCCCGGCCTGAAATAGTGTAAAATGTTCATGGGCCGAGAGCCCAACCATGAACGGGTCTAGTTCCAGGAAACATGTGATACATGATCCAAGGCTTGCCTCAGGGCATGTCTCAAAGAAAGCATATTGATATTCAATCTTGCTGATTATACCCGAACTGAAGCCTAAGGAACATGTTCTATTTATTAGTTAATATCTGATGGTTTTCAATTTTTTTTTGATAAGTGTTGGTTTTCAAAATTCTACTTAAGGTTTTAATTGATTTGATAAAAGCTTCTCAATAGGAAGTAAAAGGTTCAGAAAAATCCCATATAGTTCCCCACAACTTCAAAGTCATCATTCATTGGACCTGAAATCCATGGCTTCTATGAATTTTTTATATAAAGTGATGTCTAAACGCCGTTGCTTTTCAATACATAAGTAAATGGAAGGTAAATCAGTAAACCTTAACTGAGGATTTTTTCGGTCTTACTTTCATTTATTATGTAACTATTAAATTATTTCTACATCTTTCCCATGTAACAAACAAATATTTCTCTACTGGTATGTCACTTAAAGTTATCCCTTTTCTGTAAAATGAAGCTCTGTGATGCTTAAGCCTTACACCCTGAGGGTTACACTTCATGCATCTAGATGCTGTAGCATCTTCTTGCACGCTTTTGCCTTCTAAACAATTTTTAGTACATTAAGTGCATTTTCAGTAAAGGAAATACAACTACTTCACTGATAAAGGAAAAAAGTGTAACCATTTGATTGTTATTTAAATTACCTGAGCATCAGTGACCTTAAATACACGCTTCCAAGGCAAAAGAAATGTTGATGCTTCTCCAAACACAAGTGTCGAGACATAAATTAGCTTCTGAAATGCCTGCACTGGAGACTCACTAATAATGGTCAAGTTTCTTATTACCACAGAACGGCTCTAAAGTATTCTGCAAACTAAATCATCTTTGATGTCTGGAATATTCTAAGAAAAACTAAGCATTAAAATTAAGAAGTTAAGGATTTGCATGTATCCTACCCGACGCTGCTCTATGTCAGCATCATGATCACCAGTTTCCAGCCTTTGCCTGAAAATGCGCCTTCCAATCTGTGGTTCCAACAAGAAAAATCTGGTTAGCTTTTTTTTCTGAAAGCTGAAGTAAGAAATTTTATTGATAAAAGTGGAAAATGTGACAACAGCTTCCAGGTGCACCTCACCAGGGAAGCTGTTGTAATATGAAGATTCAAGTCTTGCTTGAAAAATACAATAATTATAAAATATATTTTCCTTGGTAAGCATAAAATTAGATGGTTAAGAATTGCAGACCTCCATATGCACAGCAGCTGCATCTGGGTCATCAATGCCAAGAGCACTTCTAAATTTAATAATAGTGTCTACTTCATTGCCTTTGAGATTTTCACTTCCAGGTGGAAGAACAGAAGATACAAACCTGAATGAGAGGGAGGGAGGGTGAGAAAGATGATACCAATGAATCAAAGGGCAGATTTCCAAAGAAATTTCTAACAATCAATGCAAGGTTACTTAGGTTGAATCAACAGTCACATCATCATGGAAAGTAGAATGCAAAATTTCATTATTGATAAGGGTAAAATAGAGAATACAACTTAATGAATAGCAGAAATACAGAATTTATAAGAGAGATTCAAACATTGAGCGGTTCTATGCTGCAGCAGACTAATATTGTTATAATATTTTAGGAGACATTTCAAATCTCACCAACTTATTAAGTACACCAGTACTTTTTAGATTGCTTTTCTAGCACTTTCGGGGGATCAGTTTTATAGTTATTTTGGGTTAGTTTGTGATTGTTTGAGTCTTATTTATTTTATTAGTTGATATTCAGTGATAAATATTACTATTCTTAGTATCCCTTTTGGTTTACTATTTAATAGTACATTTTAGACATACAATCAGGGTAAAAGAATTCACTGTACTCAGTTAAATGGTAAAATCTCTGGCTGACAAGAGTCAGCATGAGAATGCATGTTCAACTTTGAGAACAAGCACTTTGTGCAAGAAAAGATGAAGATTAGGTCCTTCCCAGTCCACCCCTCCCAAGACCCCAGATAGCTGGGACCAACATTGGGTAACGGCCCTTATTTACTTTGTAAGCCAAGTCTCATCCTAAATTCCTAGTATCACAGTAAGCTTGCAAATAAAAAAAAAATCATGCCTTTCATTCATGGACATTTTAACTCCTGAAGATGCCATGATCTCACTATTTTAACCCCTAATATTTTCTACTCAAATATGATTGAAATAAATCAGTCATCTCAAGAAATCATAAGGATCTTGAAATGGAAGGGACTATTAAAGGAAAAATGAACCAAAAGTAAAAGAGAACAGAACTGTTCAAAAAATGTCCAGAACTTGCAGATAATAATGACTCCAAATATCAATGTTTTAAAAGCACAAGGCGCAAAAAAGGCACAGGGATCAATTTGCGCCTGAGGCACAAGGCAAGGCACAAAAATGTTTTAAAAGCGCAAGGTGCAAAAAAGGCGCAGGGGTGAATTTGCACCTGAGGTGCAAGGCAAGGCACATGCCTTTTTTTGAAGCAACGCGCAAAATATTTTTAAAAATGACAGAAAAATCAAAAAACAATGCCAAAAATTCAAAAAGATGCAAAAAATAAAAATATTAAACATAATATTAATAAAAAATATAAACTTTAAATTTTAGAATAAATGTTTTAAAAAACCTATTATCTAAAATTAAAATACATAAACATAGCATGTAAAAAATATTCAAATGTGAACTTAAAAATAAAATCAAACATATAAAACATTTTCAAGCATGCAAAACCCACAATCTCTTTTTTTCCTCAATTGCATTACTTGAAGTAGCTAATGTGATGTAAAACATATTACATTCCTAAGTCTACAAGCCAGCTTTGTGCCACACCCCTCAAGGCAAGCCGAAACAAGTCCATGTTAGGGTCTTAAATTCTTAGTTCTCACACAAAAAATAATGATTTTATAATTTTAAATGCTTTTTAAGAAGATATTTTAGTAGGATGAATGAATGAACAGCATTACCAAATAGGGGATTCTCGGAGCTTCAGTGAGCGAGCAAAGCCCCCGACCCAGCCGTTAGGGTCAAAAAAAAAAGCAAAAAGCATAGAATTTTAAAAGGTTGCATGCCTAGGCTGAGGCACAAAGGTGCATCAAGCGCATGCCTAGGTGCACCAGTCATGCGCCTTTTGAAAGGGCTGCGCCTAGGACATAGGTGAGGTTCCCACCCTAAAATGCGCCTCGCCTGTGCGCCTAGGCGCACCTTTTAAATCATTGCTAAACAGTATGCTAAACAACTCATATGGGTGATACCAGATAGGATAGTGATCATGCTCCACCAATGGAAACTTCTTGCACTCAAGATGATTGGCTGGTTTCATAGAAAAACCATTGTTCATGTTGCCATGCATGGATGTGGAGAGAAAGAAATAGATGCTTCTTTTTCGATTTGTAAGAAATAGATGCATTTTTTATGCACTAGGATTGTGCTTTCTCTTTGCAGTCTTAACTCATAAACCTTGATACAAAAGAATTTCAAAGAGTTCCTTTTATGACATATCTTCCCCCCGATATCCCTCCATCCCCCCCCCATGCCTTAGAGGAGATGAAGATACACTTTGATGGGAGCTTAGGGAGGGGACACCTCATTAAACAAGAACTAAGCATAATTTGAGTGCATAGCTTAAACTACCCTATGCCTGTATCAAAGCTACCATATGATTGATATTAAATTTCTTCACTAGGGCATGTGTTTGGTTCCGTGGGTGTTTATAGATGGGGTGTCTCTCAAATGAACATTTAATTGGAAAGCGTTACTTTAAACGTTTATTGTTTTTGTTGTTTGGCTGGGCATTTCAAGTAACACCCCATAAAGCTATCTTCCTCCCTAGCTTACAATGCTCTAGGTAAGCATTTCATTTCAATGTTGAGAGAAACCATAATTTGAAGTTTCCCCCAATGCCTCATGCACATAAATCCAAGTGTTTCTGTTTTCTAATGTTTATTTCATAAATGTTGAAACCAAACAATGGTTTCATGCACAATAAATGCCAATGCCTAAGTGGTGCTGATGTGGCAGTGTTTTTCCAATAAACGCCCACAGAACCAAGCATAGCCTAGATAGGGCTGGTTTCACAAGCCCTAAATCAACCCTATGGCTAATCAGCATACCCTAGGAACACCTTCCAAGTGTTTCCCATCTCCCCAAATTAATCACATGAATTCCACATCCCTTGCATGCACCATTATCAGACTTTTAGTGGACACAAAAGAGATGCATACTTCACCAAAGCAGAGGTGGCTGTTTTGCTAAGCAGCTCAAGGATTGAGGTCATCCCCCTTCCTCCCCACTACGTATCTAAAGTGATGCATCTGATCATATTAGGTAGAAGATGAGGATTGCAGAGGTAACTATTATCTCAATGAGATCAAAGGTAACCTGTCGACCTTGGAAGTTGAGATTAGGTGGATCCCTAGAGAGATGAAACCAATTGCTAATAGATTGGCAATATCCTAGTGCTGGAAGGGCTCCTATATGTAATGACAGGTATACACCTGATGGAGGCCCATCTCACCCCCTAGGGGCGGCAGCTCCTAGGATAAGGACAAGAGTCCAAGATAAGTCAAGAAAGGATAATTCAAGACCCATCAAGACTTAATCCAAGACTTATAAAGAATCYAAGATTATCAAGACTCTTCCAAGATTAGCAAGAATTCAAGACTCCAATCAAGATCCAACAAAGACTCCAAGAAGCATCAAGAAATCCAAGACTCCCAGATTCATGCAAGAGGGTTCGACCTTATCAAGACAGCCCAAGAGGATCAAGATCAAGATCAAGATTCATGTTCTTTCCTAGTTCCTTTACAATTTCTAAATGTATTATAAATACTGCTACTTTCCCAAAATTAGAAATCAATTTTATACTTCATATTTTCAGAATTTCTTCAAGTTCTCTTCTTCCTATTTTCGCCACCTTTTCTCTCTCCTAGAGAATTCGGTGTTCTTCGCTAGAAGCTAGCGATCGCCCAGTGCTTGCATAGCCAGCCCGGTTTCTCATTGCTTCCACGCTGCGTCAACACCTTTCTAATTTTTGTTCAAATGCAGAGAAGCCTGTATACTCTTTTGTATATCAGTGCCAATCATTTTGCCCCCACATTAATAAATTACTTATACTTACAAAACAGAAACGTTTTAAACAACAATCTCATTAATGCCTAGCAATGAATAACATCTAAAAACAATTATGGCCTTAATGTTTAACAACAAATCAGAAGAGACAGTGCTTGTGTGTGAGCATGAGAGAGAGAGAGAGATGGGCTGTTTGTCTTCATAGAAGAAAGAAAAAAAAAAGGATGATTTGCTTTATATGATTTAATAAGGGAGAGATCATGTCTTTCTTTTTAACATTTTTTCTTTTGATAGATTCTTTCTTTTTAACATATTAGTTAAAAGAGAAAGTATAGACAGATCTTAGTAGGTCACCCTGGATCATGTTTCTTCATGTGTTTAATAATTCTGACTTCTAACTCTTAACTCTTTTGGTTAAAAACAGAGAGATGACATGGTGATGTAGAACTAATTCTAGGCTCCCTTTCATTTTTGTTTTAAGTTTTTAACTAAATGGTAGAGTGTGGTCTTTAAAGGAGGAGTACATTTCTAATGGTGCTGAAAATATGAATAACAATAAGCAATTAATGAACTTTTTTACCATCCACCAAGAGAAAATGGTTTTACACTCACCGGCCATACAAATCACAAAGCTCTGCATTGAAGGCCTCATCTTGTTTACTAACACCGTATCTGAAATGACAAACCACGGGAAGAACACAGAAAATAGAATTAACTAAAACATATCAGTAACAGAATCTAGACATGATAGCACTTTCAAACCTGAAAAGTCAAGTGCTGCAGACAGAGAGAATGGAACCAAATCTAGTTAAAGGCACGATCTTGTCATGATTAAATCAAACATCTATCTCTAAACTATCAGAAGTCATTATTTAAACATTAAAAGTCAACAAACCAAGGCTTTGAGACGGATAAAGATCATATGTATGCAACCCAAAAAATCAACTTATATTTTCTCATGGATAGGAACAATGAACTTAATTGATTGCCTATTTCAACTGGAACATTTCTCAAAAGAGACCCTCTAGCCATAAGCTTAGTACGACCAACTAAACACGACGAATCTATCACTCTATCAGGATTAGATGGACACTAATACAAACTCAACCAAAGAAAAGAAAAGAGATTAAAAAGGAAAAAGAAAAAGAACAGCGTCAAACGTTAAGCCACAAAGAGAACTATCTATGAATGATGAATGACATCAGGAAAATCCAATTCAAAATACGTCCAAATTTTATCAAACTAAACCAAGTAAAACCTGTAAATAGCACAAGAAGAATCAAATTAACTAACCTTTTGGCAATTCCTTCAATGTCTTCCTTCTTCAAGGTCGTCGGATCATCATGATCCGCCACAAAATTATGCAAATTCACCGCTGCAACCTCCGGAACACAAGAGTTCAACGCATAAGCTGCAGCACCACCAGCAGCACCAAATGCAATGGCACCACCCAGTCCAGCGTTTCGGGTCCCTCCAATTCGATACCCTAGCCCGTAGCCAGCAGCTAGCGCACCAGCAACTATAACAACCGAGCTCGCCAACCTAACCGAAGGAGACAAGCCATCGACAAGTAATTGCACACCTGAGAGCTCCTTCTTTCCCCCAAAGACCGACGAATTAATCGGTTCCCTCGATTCTGTTGCATCAGCAACAGAGCTCCGAATAAGGGAGACCCGGTAACGGCGTCTTCTATTGAGAGAATTTCTTGAGGTTTTGATGGAAAGGGAATTGGGGTTTATGAACTGAGAGCACAATACGGGATAATTGGTAGAAGAAGAAGGAACGAGAAGAGAAAGATTCATTTCTCCTCCTTCTCTGAAAAGAGAAGAAAAGAGAACACAAATGAGTGCAGCGGCGTCTAGGGTTTTAGGGTTTTGAGGGTGGCGGACTGGCGAGAAGACCGAAGAGGAGTTAAAGATAGGGGACTGAAGAAGAAGATAAAACAGACGCAGAGTGAAATGGCAGCTTATCTAGAAACGTTAAAATCATTTATCAACTGGTGAGGTTGCATAAATCGCGATTTACCAAGATTGACTCAATGACCCGGATTAACTCAGCGATTCAGCCGGACGATAACGGTAAAACGGCATAAGGATCGAATCATGACTCATTGACTTGCTCACAATCCACACTTGAGGATGCGACCAACGTTTGATCGCAGTAGAAGGAAAACGGAGAACATTGAATTGAAGTTACACTACCCGGACCCGTTCGATGTACGGGAAAATTTGGAAGATTGAATAATTTAATTATTAATACATTAATGATCAAATTTTGTTGTTAGTTAACTACAAATATTCAAATTTCTTGTTAATATTTAAAAATTTAAGAATCGCATATTTTTATTTAATGTTGATTTACAGAAAATAATAATTATTAATTTAATATAAATAAATATTTTTAATAAATTTAATTTTATTAATCATTTATAGTAATTTTAAGAGTAAATTTCTTAAACTACCCTTATAATTTAACTAATTGATTAAGTGTATCCTTATTTTTGAAAATTAATTAATTAATTAATTATTAATTTAACAGAAAGACAAAAAAGACTATTTTACCCTTTATTCTTCTTCAAATGTTCAAAATAAAACAAGAAAAGGGGGGAAAGAAACGTTGGTTCATCAAACCCTATTGGAGCTCCTAGAAGTAGAAGGTCGGGATTGGACCAAAAAGCTGGTTGTAGCCCAAATAGAGACTCCAGAGATTTTTAAATTACCTTAGAAATTCAGGGATAAGACCTGAGAGGTTGGTGTTCCATATGTGGAGTATTTCGAGTTTTGAAGTTTTGTGATGAAGTTGGGGATGGAACAATGAAATTGCGGATGTCATTGAAGTTGAGTCTTCAGGTATGAGATCACTAACGGCCTCTGGGATCTGGAACCAAAGATGGTAGATGGCAGGAGACTAGGAGGAAGAAAAATAGAACATAGAAAAAGCACTTGTTGATCTTGCTGAAAATGTAAAGCTTCATTTATTTCTGTACAATCGAGTGGTTTCAAAAGTCCGACATTTGTAGGTCAAACAAGAAGCCAAAACAATCTTGTCCACCCATCTCCCAAACTCCTCCATTTCAGAACTCTTCAACTCATAAAACCTCCACCTCATTCTTCAACTCCCTGAATTGTTGGGCTGCAACCTGGTATTTGGCCTCGAGCATCTCGATCTCAATCTTGTGAGTTAGAAGTTCAATGATGTGTTCTTCTACTCAAGAACGAGACACCATTGCTACATGGCTCTGATCTTTTGGATCTCGGTTGTTAATAGAAGGGATTTCTTGCTTTGAAGTTCTTTCTTAGTTTGAGGTGAAGAAGAAGAAAGGAGGAAGAGTTAGGGTTTTCACAAAGGGAGAGAAAGAAGGTGAGGGAGAATTCCTAAACCTGAAGAAGAGATAGGCTTTGGTTTCTAGTTTCTAGTTTCTTCCATTGATGGAGCCTTTCTTGAAAAGCAAACAAAAGCACCATTGCCATCCCAAACGGAGGAGCTCGTCGGGAATACTAAGACTCAGAGAGAGAAACTTCTGGTGGGAAAATATATGTTTTACAAAAATCAATACCTTTAGAAGTCCGACATTTGCACGTCAGTCCAATTGGATTCTTGAAGCTGAAACGCCCAATAAAGATAGAGAAAGCTTTGCTAGATTTGGCGGAGATTGGAGGAAGAAAATTAGGTTTTCTTGGGAGGATGGAAAACACAGGCAACGATCATCGTTTACTTTAAGAAATTTCTTAGAGTAGAAGCACCCTTGTTGTCAAATTATACAACTCTAGTCTACCAACAAGGTTTCATCGGTGGTAGTTCTCTATTCACCGTCAAGAAGACGATGAACAAAGAAGAAGAAGAAGAAGAAGGGGAAAGAGAGGGAAAGATTGGGGAAGGGACCTGGTCAGAGGTGAAGAGGGTTAATGTCGGTTCATTGTCATTGTGCCAAGAGTTGGAAGAGACGATGAACAATGTTTTTTCGGTTCTCTCGAAAATGAATTTGGGATGAGGGAGGGGTAATATTGGGTTTTAAAAGAATTTTAAACACCACGCGGTCTCACATGTATACCGATTTTGATGGAATAATAACGGTAACGGTAACGGAAGTGTTAGTCAATTGTCAAAAATAGTAGGGGTAGCATCAATCAATTTTCAAATAGTAAGGATACACTTAGTCAATTAGCTAAACCATAAGGGTAATTTAAAAAATTTATCCTAATTTTAATAACTTTTGTTTATTTCAGTTATTTTTAAATGAAATTTTTGATTGATTTTAAATAAATAAAAATAATTATAAAAGTTAACATTTTTATTAATTTCACTAATAATTAACAATTATATAGGAATGGCAACAAGGCGAGTTTGGGGTGGGGCGAGGCACCCCCTCCCTATCCAGCCCCCATAGTCAAGATATGCTACCCCATCCCCGCCTTGTCCCCGATGTCGAGCGGGTCCAAGGCAAGGCACCCACTCTTGTTAGGGATAGGAAAATGTTTGAATTTTCCCAACCTCATTCCTAGTGTTGGGCAGCTTCAGGCAGAGCAAGGCACCCACTCCCTATCATGGACAAGGAATTCTCAAATTTTCTCTGCCCCATCCTTATTATTGGAATGGGTTTGGGGCAAGGCACCAACTCCCTGTCCTTAACAAGAAATCCTCAAATTTTCCATGCCCAAAAGCAACCACTTAAAAATAATTTAATTTGTGGATATTTTACAAATATGATTATGGGGATTTGAGGGTATTTTAGGTAGGGTCATCATTATTTGATTAAAACCGAAAAACTAAACTAAAAATTTTGGTTTCAATTTTTTCAATTCATTTTTATTTTTTTTTTGTTTATTTCAGTTTGGTTAATTTTTTTGAATATTTTGATTTCAGTTGTGGATTTTACAATTAGAAAGTTGGTTAATCGAATTAACTGAACTTTGGTATATAATATGTAATATATAATATATAATATGTAACATATAATATATTATATTTATATAAATATAATATATGGACTTTTTGTAAAAAAATTAACGAAGTTTTATAAAATGTCAAAATTAAACACGTTTACAAAAAAAACTGCAAAAACAATGATTAAGAACAAAAAAGTTAACTTTTTGGACAAAAATGCCATTTCTTAAATTTCGTCTTGAAATTCAAAAGCAATTGCTAGCTATCACTGTTCATTGGCTCCTTTGTTTGAATTTCAATGTTCATTGCCCCTTCCTTAATACTAGGGCTAACAATCTTGACCCCAACCCATTTGATCCACCCAACCAGCCTACCTTGGAACCCATCCATACCCACCCAATCTATTGGTGAGTCAATATGGGTTAAGTAACCCATTAGGGTAAATGGAAAAGGGTCAAAGGGTTGGGTCGAGCGAATTAGGATGGGTTGGGTCAAAGTCAGCTCTATCTATATTTGTCAAATCTCAAAAAAACAATATTTGAAGTGACTCGAATTCAAGCCTCTTAGTGCATTCACATTTCATTATAATTCCAAAGCACCATGCCACATGTCATTTTTGAATTAAAAGTGAAATAAAATATATTTTATTAACTTTCATGTTCACATGCAATTTTACACAAAAGCACTTTTACAAAAGTACTTTTACACGAAATCACTTATATGAAATTACTTTTATGAAAGCACTTTCACAAAAGTACTTTTACATGAAAACACCTTTATAAAAGTATTTTTATGAAAGATCTTTTACAAAAGTACTTTTACACTAAAACACTTTTGCGGAAGTACTTTTATAGAAGTACTTTTGTGAAATCACTTACTAAAGCACTTTTATAAAAGTACTTTTGTGAAAGCACTTTGATGAAAGTTATGCATTTTTTGCTATTTTCTGTAATTGTTAGGTATTTTTCTACTTTTTGTGTAATTTTCTGGTATTTTTCTAAAAATTTATGGTATTTTCTGCATCTTCTACAATTTTTTTGGTGTTTTTCTGCATAATTTTTTTTATTTTTCTATAAAAGTTCTGAATTTTTTGTAATTTTTGGTATTTCTTGCATTTTTCTGTAATTTTCTACATTTATATACAGTTTTTGTATTTTCGGGCATATAGATTGACTTGACTCGTTTTTGTCACGTGGTAGCAAAACGGGTTGTCTCGACCCATTTTTGTATTAATAGGTAAGGGTAGGTGGGTTAGTATGGGTGAGCATGAATAAGGGTCAATATGGATGGGTTAAGTGCATCGATATGAGTGGATCACGGTGAATTAGGGTTAAGAAAGGTTATGACTCTTTAACAATGATTGATGATGGGTTGGTGGGTCAATATGGGTGAGTTGGTATTAAATTGTTAAGGTTATGACTCTTTAACAATGATTGATGATGGGTTGGTGGGTCAATATGGGTGAGTTGGTATTAAACCGTTACCCAACCCAACCCAACCCACCCAGTTACCACCCCTACTACATCATCAACAATGACAGCAAAATTAATATTGAAAAACACATTTAAATAAAAAATTAAAGAAAAACTAAAAGAAACTTTGGCAAGAGAACAATTTGAAGACGAGCTTGCATTGCAGTTTCTAACGAAAAGCAAAATAATTGTTTCATATCTTTGAAAGAGGGGAAACGATTCACACATACCAGAGAAATGACTTAGCTTGGTCATATTCCTTATTCCGTTCAGCCCAGGAATATATTCCTTATTCCATCATTAAATGCTCCAACTACCTTATACTCCAATGCCTTAACTTTGGTTTAAAAAGTTGAATGCTCTTTTTTCAGAGTACAAAAATGTCAGAAAATATATTTTTGATATGATAATCATTACTTTCTTATATATCAAACAAACGCTTGCAAACACAAACCGTAGTACTTTAATACTCCAATTCGGCATTTGAATAGTAAACAAACGGAGCCTAAGGCTCAATTTAAAAAGAGTACAAATGCAAATGCATACAAAATAATACAAAATATAAGATTTTACACTCTATACATTTACATTTGTACTCCTTCCAAACTGAGCCTAAGCTTCTTCCTTCAACAACACCCTAAATCCAAGAAGGTAAAGTACCTGTACCATCGTGAACACAGGATCATTCCAAAGAAAGAAGTTGCTAGTTTCTATTTTGCTTGCATTTTTTATCTTTTTTTTTTTTACTTGCTTATCCGAGTAGAGAAG